CCGGATCGAGGCCGCGCGCTCTGCACCGCGCCCGCGCAGTGCGCGCTGCGGTCGGGGCACCTGCGGAGGGGGATCCCCGGACCCTGCTCGACTCGTGAGGCTCTCCCGCCGCATCCACCAGCAGATGAGGGTTGGAGGGCTTGCGGTGGGCTCTCTGCACTAGCTCTTCCGAGGGAGGGCTGTCTGCCCTTCGAGGACCCTGGGGCCGGGGTGGGTGGCTGGGCATACGAGACCAGGGAACCTGGGAACTCAGTCCACGCTGGACATCCCCGAAGAGCGCTCGGGATGGGTGTCCTTGGCTCGCCTCCTAGCCCTCGGTCGCTTGGGCCGCGCTCTGCATCCTAATCTGTCTCCTCAGAGCCCCCCTCAGGAACCAAGGGGAGGAATTCCGCAGTTCCCTTCCCACACAGCCAGAATCCCTCATCTGTCGCCTCAGGAACACCGCATCCCACACCATGAGCCGAGAGCTCCATCGCACGCCAACACCAACCGTTCCCCAGCGGGTTCTGTTCCCTGACGGAGGGAATCCCACTCTGGGGGGGAGGAGGAGGAAGTTTTATTTCGTTTTTAATAGCCCACAGAGCCTTTGATACATGCCCACGTAGAAGTCACAGGCTATGCTACGGTAACTGCTAAATAGCATCTAGACTGCTAGAAGATGCTTCACTCTGGCATTAAGATGAAGGCTGTTTTATAGACTCATTTCCCTCAATAAGAGAAAAAGGGACTTTAATCCAAAACGTATTCTTAAACCACAGATAATTTGCTCATGAGGTCTGTACAAAGCCTAGGTCACAGCAAGATAAAGGGAATTTTGCCCATATAAAGAGGTTATACTACTTAACAGGGAAAGGCACCTTTGCATTGAATTCATGAACAAGACATGAACATATTCACTTCACAAAGAAGAGCAGCTTTCTTAAGGGAGTAGATTGCAGAACGAAGCCTTTAGTCCATTTATGTGTTTGTCAATAGTGCACCAACACATGAGCAAAAGCAGAGCAAAAAATCACCTTAGTGTCCCAAGGCTCAGCCTCAGGACTTAAGATAAATTCCTTCAACAGATGCAAATCACAGTGCATTACCTAGCTGAAATCAGGCACGTCATTTTATTTAATTATTTCCAAGGAGTGGAGGCTGGCATGCAATTTTGATTGATACTTGGAAAAGGACCAACAAACCCTACACAACCAACCAACAAACAAATTCTAGTGTGTATAGCAATGCAGTAAGAGAAGCAGGGTGGAAACTGGTTAGGTTACAGTATCAGGAGGGGCAGGTGACTGCATGGTGGGGGTGTGGTAATGGAGGTCTGGTGGTACTTTTCCCTCTGAAACCAGCTCTGCACCATTTCTTACCAATTCTTCTGCCTTACCTCATCTCTTTCAGCACCAATAGAAGTACTGCAGGCAAAAGGAGGATTGTTACCTTTCTCAGCCTGAAAATTATCTTAGGCATTTGACTTTGGATCCCTATCCTGTGGCCCAGCCTCTGCTTAGGGTTATAAGCACTTCAGGTGCAAGTATGAACGTCTGGAGGGGTTCCTGACCTCAGCCTTTGCTCTTCCCCCCAATCTTCACATTCCTCCTTCCATCTTATCATTCAGGTCTCAGCTTACATGTCCCCTCCTTAGAGTCTTTGCTGACTATCTAAAGTGGCTACTATCCCCAGTTCACCTTCTATCACATTATTCAGTTTTATTTTCTTCACAGCACTAATCTCTGATACTGTATTTTTGTGTAGCTGTTTACTGCCTGTCTCCTAGTGTTTCATGGAACACTAAGATATAAGGTTTGTG